TCCATACTCAATTCCAAAAGGACCCCTGCTTCTCAAATTTTACTTTACGCGCCAAATTCCTAATAAATATCATCTAAACCAAAACTAGACAACCAGAATAACTTTTCTCAATCAAATTCTCTTCAAATTAATTCCATCTGATTCCACACTAAAAAGTTCCACAATTCCAAAGCTGCCCCTTTTTCTCAGAATTCACTTTACACACCAAATTCCTCTCCTGTTCCACATTTAAGCGAAAGAAACCAATCTCCCCCGTCCTTCGTTATCCTCTAAAGGTCTTCGACTTTCAGAAAAAGGTGTGCAAGCGAACGTTGGTGTTTTATCAACGTTACGATCGCCAGTTACGTTGCAAGTGTTCGGGGATGCGCACGGTGGACGAAGTGCGGGCTATAAGAGGGGACGCCGCGCGTCGCGACGCCACACAATCTCCAGTTTGTTCTGACGCCAAGTCCACGCGCGTCCCCCCCGCGCTTCAGCAAGAGATCAGTGACGAAGAGGAGACGGAACAGGAAAAAGCATCCTTCGTAGACAAGTTCTTGGAATTCTTCCGTACGCTCACTTCCGGTTTCTTGGATCCCAATGAAAGGAAACATGATACTGGACATGTCTGTACGATGTCTGACCAGGCTGTTACTCGTTGTCGGCCTCCTCCACGCTGTCTCCGCCATAATAAAAGGGAACTCTGATTATCAGCACTATCAGCAACAGGTAAGTTTCATCATGCCTCTTCAGAGTTTGTTTTGTACATGGAAAATCAATTTTGGGTAAGTTAGGATACATTAGTGTATGTACAATTTTTTTGTATGATTTTTTTAACGTAGGGAATAAGTTTCGAGTAATTCAGGATACTTTGGATTATGCAGAATGTTTTTATGTGATTTTTTTAACGAAATTTCGTAATTATTATTGAAATTGGTTTGTCTGAGTTGTTACAGTATGTGTGAATTTTTTTATGGAGTTTTAACACTGGTGTAATTATGTAACTATGGGTAATTTATTGTTATTTATTACCATGGTCACTTCTTTGTGGTTCGAAGTAGATTTTTCTGAATAAATACGTGGTAGAATATAAGTGACTTCTTAACAAGGTTTTTAAAACAATTTCTACGATTAATGCTTTCAGAAATTATTGCTTTATTTTTTAGCGAATTAATTAAATTGATAAATTTATCTACATTTTGAATGATTTGTTGCAAAAAATACCATTATTTTTTTCTTTGTCATAAGGATGCTTAGAGTTAAATCACGAGTAAAATTGATGTAGTTGTTGACAGATGTTATAGAAGCTTGGAGATAATTTATACTTAAATAAGGTAAAAATATCTGAATACGGTGTTTCTCTCTATTTCCGTTACATTTCAGAAATAGAATACAGAATAAATGTTCTGCAAAATAGAAACCTGTTTCTTTCTATACTTCGAACATTTCACTTCAATAAAATTTCGAAATAACTATTTTAAAAACTTAATTCTGTTAAGTGTTTTCAATCGAATTCCGTGCGTTGCACGCACATATTCCCAGAAAGAATACCAATAATGAAATTTTGATCGATCATTACCCGGACGATGCTTACATTTTCCTCCCTTTGTCGTAGCAATTAGTTGCATGAGCACCTCAAAGTAAACGCGTAAGGTATCTGGTGTCCCTTACAAGTTTTAGACACGGATCCTCGTTGTTTCAATTAAAATTGAAGAAAAATCATTCTTGAAAACGGTAAAAAATTAAATGTTCCATGTTCTATTTTGCCAGTTTCTCCTCTTGCACAGTACAAAGGGGAAATGAATAATTCAGAATTACCTCTAGAGTTATACCACTCAAAATAATTGATAGAAAATTGTTCTCCAGCAGAATCATCCAAAAATTCAGTTCTTCAATTTTCCATTTTTCAATAATAATACTGTAATGTTCCATTTAACTAGAAATTCTCCTTTAAAGAGGAGAATTAAGAGCATGCAGAGAATATACAAATTTTGCGATCTGAAGAGAATTGAAAAAGCAGCACGACAAATTTTTCAATTTCAAAAGGATTCAAAGAGTAGAATCACAAATTTTTGTTCCTCTCTAAGAGAATCTACAGAGCATCGTAATAAATTCCTAATTTTAGGAGTACCCAAAGAACAACGTACTTCGAAAGGATCCAACCAGTAAGATTAAAAATGTTCAATATTAAGACGATTACAATTAAAGTTTCTGTACTATTTATAAACGTGGTGCTGTGCGGGTTTCCGCCACGGAACAAGAATCTCGAGTAGCACGCTGCGCGTCTCCAAAGTGTCTCCAAAGACCACGGAAACGGCGTAACACGTTGATCTTAGCGGATAATCCCATTTCACTTTGTCTCGTCGTGCGAATCGAACGGGAACCGGTAATCTGGTTAACGAAGAAGTGTACGTTCCGCTGTTCCTTGGTATTTAATGAAATTCCACGACGAATCACTGTGAAATATCGAATGTCTGCTCCTCGTAGTGTAATCAGTTTCATAATACACGTTGAATATACAGGGTGAACCACATAATGCGACCACTTCTACTATTTTCATTGTGAACGAACCGAACAACGTGGTTTTTGTCATAGATGTTACAATTTTAAAACATCTTCAAAGTAACGACAGTAGATTTTTTCCATGCCCTTGTTTAAATAAGTTTTCAAGATCACCTATAGCTTTTTATCAAATAATATATATTTTTTTGTCTAGTGAAATGTAATACGGTGATCAGGTGAAAAAAAGAATCAGATGAAAAGTGTTTTTTAACAAGCTAAATAACATATTTCAGAAGAATTCAAGCAGTAAAATTGGAAAATTTCAATATCAAGAGGATTCAAAGAGTAAGATTTGAAGAGAGAAATCTTTCAATTTTTGTGTTTCTAAGGTGTAGAATTACAAATGTTTCAACTTTAAAAGTGTTCAAAGAATAGAGTCACAAATTTTCAATACGAAAAGGATCTACAAAATCTTCATCGGTCCACTGACAACGAAAATAATAGAAGTGATCACGTTATATGGTTCAGCCTGTATGTTGTGAGTCCTTCGCTTCCGGGTTGAACGTGAAACATAAGAACGATAAGACTCGATGTTCTTTTCCTGCTGTTTAACCAACCATTTGCGTAGGAGGCATTATCAAGTTGCTGAAAGCAATGTTGCTTCGATGATTCTATTAATTTCTCCTAAGATTTACGATATTTTGAGCTACGATGAGCCACGATTAATGTGACTCATACTATGAAAATTATTGCGCGTTGTTTTTTTTGCTCAAATTAAACTTTTGTTAATTCTTCCCTGAACGTTCTCCATATTATACAAATTAGTGTCATTTGAAGCGGTGGTCAAACTGTAAATTTTTTCAAAATTAGGCTAAACGTTGAGCACTGCTGCTCAAAGTACCTGAATTATTTTATATTTTAAATTACATTCAAGTTACTCGAATAAATTAATAACCAATAAATCTTACTCAAGTTTTTCAATTCCAATGTCTCGATATTACTCAAAATTTTCAGCACTGCACGCAATATAATAATTATTTCATACTTTTAATTCAATTTATATGATGCTCCAGTCTACGATAAATCTTACTCAAATTTTTCAATTATTCAAAAATTCCTTCTAATTTTCAGCTCTGCTTGTAATAAGAATATTAAATATTCGATAAAAGTGTGGTGTCACTAAACACAGTATGTATTTATTTTACGACACAAAGTCTAATTGTTTTGAGCACTTACCTTAACTTACTTACATGGTACTATAGCTACCGTGACATTATTTTCTTTTCATTTGTGCGAGACCATTTCTTCTTCGTGGTTAAAATTTCGTAAATACCTGCACAAGATCCTTTGTACGTTTTCGAGAAGCTTATCGAGTTAGGTCTGGCGAATTGCAAAGGGAAATTGTTTGTTGTCAGTGTAAACGCGATTTAATGCGCGTGGGTAACTTGCAAAAATCAAGCGGCAACGTAAGTACTTGAAACTTCGTTAATCTCCGTTGCTAGTTAGAAGATATATAAAACGTTAAAACAATTTTTGTCGTGTGTTCCTCTGTACAAAAGAAAGAGAACATTCTAATTGCTCACCTTTTCAATATTTAATTCATCAATGGCCGCAAAGTAAGCTTGGGAGAAATGTAAAAATACTCGCGGCGATGAAAATAAAAAAATCTTGCTAATCCAGATTAATTGGGTGGGTGTTTCCATTTATAGGAAATTGAAAGGAGAGTTTAAATTTGACGTGCTTCTGTACACTCATTTCAAAATGAATGCAAAAATAAATGTCTAATAAATCACAGATTATTGCAAATAATCTTTCATTCGACTAATGTGGTAACTTCCGGTGTATCTTTCACGATCTCGATATTACAAAATTCCTGTTTTCAATACGTATACTTTTATTTTCCTCTTTTCGATTGTCGATCTCGATAATCCGAATTCGATAAATATTTGTGCAATGTAAGTGTCTAACCACAGTTAAAAAACATTCTGTGTATGTGTGAAGGATTTCAATTTTTTATTTTCTCCTCGGAGAAGCTCGTTCATCGTGGAACAATCGTAGCAAGAGGAATCCGTGTCATCGCAAATATTTGCAACGGCTGTTTGTACCTCGATTACGTGTTCTTGCTTAATCATAAATTGCGGGCACTACGCGTCTGCTTTACATATAACAACGATAATCTTTTCATTCTTTTAAAGTCGAACGATTTTTCAGTATCGTACATCGATTTATTAATTAGATTTTGTTAACCTTTCCGATCGATGTTAATTTCACGAATTATATAGAGAGACTGACAGGGAGCTTATACTTATACTGTGTCAATCTACAGTTGTCAAATTTCAAATATCGAAACATTATCGACGTAAACGTAAACGAGGCAACTTCAGGTTATGTCATCGAACGATTGACGGTTGCGTGTATGCGTACGGGTATCGAAAATCGAAAAGGCAGTGAAGTGTTGCATATTATATAGAATGAAGTGTGTTAAACAGTTTATTTCAGGGATTAAGAATGATGGTTTGAGCAGAGGCATTTAGCGTCAAGTATACTTTCCTCGATATCGGTTACCATTTAAAACGATGTACATATGTATCCTGCGTCCTATATTGTATCTCGTCGTGTATTTGTCTGAAAAGAGGTTAAGATTCGAATACTTTATACTTTTGATAGCGGAATATTGATTTGACAATTCTTCTGTGGATTTAATAGAAGACTTTAATCAAATAAATGTCTATTATACAAGTTAATCAATTAACTCAACGAGTTGTAATTGATAGTAAAGTGTTTATACTGCAATATTTAAATTTACTATATATGTATACAAAGTAGGTATCTGCTGTTAATAGCACGATTTTGCATGCCACAAATCATCGGTGAATTCTAATCTTTATCAAAATCATTCGACTGTAGATGTTGAAACACGAAATCTCCAAGTCTATGAACTCTCGCAGCGACAATGAAATTGGCGTGTCGACACTTTTAAAAGATCGCCTGGTAAAATACCGCCATTTGACGGGTTTATCATGGCCCGTAGAATATTGCGAATATATCGTGGATTCTATTTATCCATTTTTTTATTTTATTTCGTGACCACTAATCTTTAAAAAGTTCATCGTTCAAAGTGAATACTGTGTGAGTCATTAAAGGTATCCTTTTTTCACTTTTTCCAGTATTCTCACATAAAACGTCATTTGAGAGGGAGGGTAAAATCGTGTTTTCTTGTCTTCGTGTACCCTTTTCTTGGAAACTACTGCAGTAACTATGATCATTTTTTTTTTCATTCTTTTTAGTAATAAATCGACTATAATTTGTTCGTTCGATATAAAAACATTATGTACGGTAAGTTTAGTTCTGAGCATTTAAAGACGCAAAGAATACGTTTTACACGTGTTTTTACCAACTTTAATCATTTTTACCCCTTAAATAGAACGCAATGTTTCGCGGTCCTTTTTCATTTACCAAACAACCTATGTATAAAGCGTACGAGCGTTCTTTGAATAATAAGTCATTGAAAAGGATCAATGGGGGTTAAGGTTTAAATACGTCAACAAATATATAACAGGAAGTACAATATTGTGCTACTTTACTTCCCTTTTTTTAAATCTGTTTTAATCAAGATTTTTTTTTATTTTTAACATTTCCAGTTTACGTATGAAGTGGTTATTGTTAGAAATGCAACGTTATCGATAATCGCAAAGACGAGATTCGAGAGGTAGGAAAATTCACAAGAATAAGTCGATCCCTTGTGAGGAGCATTTCTATGATAAAAGTCTGGAGGAAAAGTTGGGAAAAACTGTACAGAAAAGGTTGTATTATAAAATATTAAAAAAGAGATGAAAGTGAATAACGTTCATATTGCATCATTGTATTTGCCATTTTCTGTTGAAATCCAATATACGAAGGGCACTGTAACGCAACGCTGACTAATTTTACATAGATTACACAACCACCGGTCACGTTTCCGGTTTAACAAGTTCTGCTTTTTCCAATAACTGCAGTAGTCGAAAAGAAGCTGTATAGGGTGTCCCACGTAACATCCGTTCAGAAGTATTAATACACTTACCGAATGTAAAGCAAACCTAGGCACTTGTGTTGCCAGAATTTGAGTACTGAAAATTTACTTTTTATTTTTTTACGCTTTTTTAAATCTATCCAATGTGTTTCGTATTATTTTGGAATTGAGTAATTTTTTTAGTTCTTTCTGTTTTCAAAATTTCGTTTTAATTGTTTCAGGTATTAAAGTTTTTTTTTCTTACTTCTTACCACTTCTTTTTATCTCTCTGAATATTCGAATTATTTTTTTTTTTTTTAGTATGGAAACACTTAAAACTTAATTTCGAGAAATCGCAACACTTGTAAATAATGACAAAAGAAATATCGAAGCTGAAATTCAAAGTTATTTCAAAGAGGCGAGGTGAAAATTTGGAATTTATGAAAACAAATTTTTAGTGATTCTAGTAATCGAAACATCGACGTGAGGGGTAGAAAATTTTGAAGAAGCTATACACTACTACTAGAAAACGTTTAAAAAGTATCCTTGCAAATTTAGAAAGGTCCATTTGGGTTCGCCTTGGTCCAACTTGACCGTCTAGAATTTTTTTAAATTCTAAACTTTGGTCAGAGTTGTGCCAATTGTTGAAAAAGAATGACCAATCGACCCGCCAGAAATTCTTAGAATTAGTATTTCAAGTAAAAAATCGGAAGACCTTAAAAAACCGAGTTTTAAACCCAGGACCTTTAGATTAAAAGCTACACACTGGCTTAACATTGGATTAAAAGCAACCACTTCTCTAATAAGTCTCTTGTACTCGCACTTCATCGTACAGTTACTTGACACTTAACTAAGACACTTAAATAATACAATAATTTATAGGATAGATATATCTATTTCTGAATAATAAGTTATTATATTGTAAGGTCACAAAGGACTAAATGCGTATAGATATGTACGTTGATTCTAGCGCACGTGTCTTATCGCAGCGGCTGTATGCACGACGGCATCAAAGACATCAGAAATGCTGTAACGCGAGAAGATTCGTAGAAAAGTGCGACTTGCTTTTGTCCACGGAGATGAGCACAGCCACTCTCGTGGTACGGTCGACCAGTTCCGGGCATGCCATCCAAGTATTTTCATAGCCGGTCGCTGATGAAAGATCCGCGTAAAACGAATGTATTTCAACTTTATGTTACAATATGAAATTTAAAAAATTTCAACATTACAAAAATATTTAGAATAAAATTTAGAATAATAATTAAGCCAATTTTTCACTGAAATATTATTCATTATTTTAATTCTTATATTGAACTACTATATCAACTATATGAACTTCATTCATTACAAAATATGTTCTAAAAGCTCTAAATGTAAATTGTACAGCAAGAATTTCTTTATTTTATACTATGAGATATGATCAAAACCTGGATTAGATACTACGTATAGTATAATAATAGGATAAAAGAATATCTGAAAAATGATATTTTTTATTAATATTTAATATTCATGGATATTTGAGATTTTTCATTTCTTATTTTTTTTCTTCCTAGATTGATTGTGCGTGTTTGTCACGCGAGAATTACGAGACTCTTGTTCATTGGCCGCTAGTTTCCTCGTTATTGGCCACTGGTGAGTCAATTCGTTGAATTTTATCCGACTAGTGGCTGCACCGCGGAGAAGTAATCGTGAAACAGTCTCTCCGGGAATATAATTCTCCCTATCCATTAACGTTTCCGCTAGTCGGAGCTCCATTCCTTACAATTCATCGGAGATCGACAAATTGTCACCTAAGAAAAGTAATTTCGCCTTTCTCCTTATGCACTCTGCTAGCCCATCCAGAAAATGGTAACTCTAGAAAACTCCAAAATTAATTAGGAATATTTCATTGCAAGATTTTCAGAGACTTGGATTTTATCTTTATGAGGAAAAAATAATTTTCTCAAACTTTTATAAAAAATTCCAAATACTTGTAGTGTAATTTATTAAAATTTAGAAATCATTAGAAACATTAAGAGAATATGTTCTTAAGATTGGAGAAAGTTTTTAATGTTTTTCATTGCTTAGAGTTTCTCTAAAAATTTCAGAATTGATTAAAAATAACTGTAGATCTATTTATCAAGTTCTATAGAAGCTTGAATTATATTTTCACGGGAATTGAAGAAGAGAATTTTCTGGAATATTTTTCGAGATTGAAAAATATTTGGCCTATTTTCTGTATCCCCCGTAGAACGTTGACGTGCAGTAATCATCATCACCAATGACAATCACGCCTTAATATCCGTCTGTCGATGAAGATCTTTCCACGGATTGTCACGCGAGAGGATATGGTCTCCCTGAGGCTTCTTCAGGTATTAGTTATTCATCGATTGGACGTGAGAGTTCTTTTTCCACAATATTATACGTGGATTCGAGCGGCTACGAGCATAATTCAGAAGAGAAATTCAGCTAGAGGGGTACATTTTCTTCTGTCAGAAATTTATTCCTTTGTACGAGGCTCTTCTTTATACCACTACTGCATTATGAAGACCTGCCTGTGTATAATTGAGAGCTTATTGGTTAAGTCTTACTACACAAAATTAATCCACGTATGCCGTTTGTAATTCTACAAAAATTCATTCCGTATAAAAAGTTGTGGAAAGCATATTTTTCAAATTCAAAACTTTGTAACAAGAAGCTTCAAATGTATTAATCTTTTAGTAAATACTATTTTACTTAAAATTTTTTCGCAATTCACTTATATATATTATACTTCATTAAATTAGATTTGAAAAATACAATTAATTTACCTTTTTTTACCAGTTTAAGTAATTTACTGATAGATGCAAGGTGTATAGTATCATTCTCACTATGAGAGTAACAAATTATAGCCTCATTACTAGAAATGTAACTTTTAGAAAATTAATAAAAACAGTGTTAAAAAAATATTTTTAGTATTTGCCGATCTACTTTTTTTTCCTTTTTTCAAAAATGTGATAAATTTTTCGAAATAATCACATTTTTGTTTGTGTATAATTACTTCAATTCTACTTTTATCATTTCAAGCACTTGTAATTTTCTCTGGTATATTCGTTAATGTACATATATAGGTACTACAGAATGGAGAGGCGTGCAGATGATGAATTATCCAAAATGGAACGATGAATTATTTCATAATGACGATGATGGAATATCATTCTGCGAATTACATTCTGCGTTCACATGATTTCTATCAATCAAACTGCCGCTTTTGCTAATCGCTCCACTTCGAATTACAACACAACCGATTCACTGAATAATTTCGATGGAATAATCATCACTTTAGGTGTTACAATATTAATTCAGCTCGCAAATGTGCGATAAAATTGTTGCGATCGATGTAATTAAACGGAGAATCCAAAAGTCAGTGTAAAATAATGGATTAAATTCTAATTTGCAATGGCAATTGTACACATGAATTTTTCGTCCCATTAGTTTCTCTATGCTGAAACGAAAATCAAATTTTATTTTTGCTTATCAGATTTAACAAAATCCAATTTCGCCGACAATTGAATTTTTAGATCGATTCTGATGCACGGATAGATTGATAAAAAAACGAATAAAAGAAACTGTATTATGTATTTTGAATTTCTTTGTTTCTTTATACATACATATATGAAAATTTCTTTTTTATAGTTGCCTGGGGATCACTTTTCAAAGGACTTCTATCATCCAGATTTAAAAAATGGCTTGTTGAGTTCCAATATGCGTTTTAAACCCGTCACAGGTACACATTTTATTATTATTATTAGATTGTATAATGTGAAATGTTGAATTTTTCAAACAAACATTTTATTCATCATAATCTTTATATTTCTTTATTTTATTATAAACAAAACCGTTAAACAATAAGAAAAAATGAGAAAAACAAATTACAATTTTTTTTTTCATTTTCAATTACACAGCATTCAAGCTTCTATGATTTTTCTATTTCTTCCAGACTGTATGTTTGTCACGTCAGAGCCAGGATCCTTCACATACACCTCAAAAACCAACGACGAGGAGGTCTGCGGAATTTACTTCCTAGCTGGGCCTGATCAAATGGTGGAGATCAACTTCATCACGTTCGACGTGCCATGTGAACATCACGGACTAGTTTCGGTAAACGAAAATCACATAATTATGATAGTAGAATATTCTAATAATTATCATCCCTGGTAAACACCTTTCATTTGTTCCCTGTTTCATCGAATATTTCTTCAATTTTATGTTTCAGTTACACCGAATTACACATATTTGTTTTTGAGCCTAGTTTCAAAACGTTCATTGTCCAACAAGTAGGAGTACAAAGTTAATTTAACTTAATCGTTTAAAAAAATGACCAATTATATCGCCTTTTTTAGGATACATACTTTAGATTTAAATAATACTGTTAATTTAATTATTTCCATAACAATTCAAACATTGATTTTTTTCATTTTATGGACTATAAAATTTTTTCAAAATATACAATTAAAATAATTGAAG